AGAGAGAGAGAGAGAGAGAGAGAGAGAGAGAGAGAGAGAGAGAGAGAGATGAGCGATACAAGTTTGGTTGTCACTTACTTGTGAAACGTGTCACGCAGTCCCACGAAGGAGGAAGAAAGCGGCCATAGCCGCGGAGCGTCATCACGGGAGTAACGAAGGAGAGAGAGGACGGAGAAGGAGGAAGAAGGAGACATCGAGGTGGAAGACAGACATAGCCGAGGGTGATAAAAAAAAAAAAAAAAAAAGGAATAAGAAAGGAAGAAGAAGGTGAAGGAAAGGGGAGAAGGGGATAAGGGTGGCGAAGAGGAAGCTGCCGGCAGCCATAGCCGAGGTGGAGAGTTGACTGGAAGGTTGACCGGGGTGTTGACCAGGGTCTTACCGCGTTGACCAAGCGTTGACCGAAGAGTTGACGGGCGCCGTTGACCAAGACTTTGACCAAGCTGGAGTTGGTAATATCTCGCCAAGCCCTAGCCTACCCCCTCACCCTGTGGATGTGCACTCACCCTGCGGTACTTGCTGAGTCTGAGGCTGTCTGTCTCTTCTTTCTGCATTGAGTCTCTTTTGTCCTAAGTGGTAGTACTCTGTGGATGAAGGATAGGGCCTGGATGACGAAACCCCTACCTGACCTTGTAGAGCTAATACCGTGTCTAATCTCACTGTCCCGGGGGGCCTAACCCTCCCAAGGACCGGTGCTGACCGGCGGGACGCGGATGGGGCGTGGCACGCTGGGCTTGAACGGCAGTTGTGGGCTGACACACCAGGCAGTCTTAAGTGTTGAGGGCCTTGTTGACCCAAACCCCTACCGAATCTAGTAAGGCTAAAGGCCGTGTCTGACGACTCGACTGTCCCGGGGGACACGAACCCCCCCAAGGACCGGTACAGACCGGCGGGCTGCTCGGTGTGGCACGGTAGGCCCGAAAGGCTGAGTTGTGGGCTGATGCAACAGGCAGAACCAAGCTGATCACGTCGTCCTGACTGCGACGTTAAAGAATTCTTGTGGAGTTACGGGGGATCTCCTTAAATGCCTCCTGATCAGCCACTGGTTCAGTAGTGACAGCCATAGTGTAGGTCTAGGCTAGCGACCATAGCTGACGGGGTTCTATACGAACCCTGTGGTCCTTAGAGAGTCAGTTAGTCAGTGGTTTGGGTAGGTCTACGTGGTGAGGAGTGGGACATTGTCGTGCACCTGAACACCATGGACGACTACCCCATGTACGGTTTGCTTGTGGGGTTCTCCCTCTGGGGGACCCTTTGGCGTTTCATTTTCCCATTGGGATTCTGGAACACATTTTCGTGTAGGGTAGAGACCAAGGGTGGTACAACCACCCACCCCTACACACCTGAAGAAGAGGCCAAGGCCGSCGCGATCCTGAAGGAGAGGAAAGAGAAGAAAGAGGCCAAGAGAAAGGCCTTGATGGAGGAACAGGCGGCGAAACTGAAGAAGATAGAGGAGGAAATGGCCAAGAGAAGAGGAGGAGGTTGCAATGTATATCCCCAAGGATGAGCAAGAAGCCGCCGTTAAAGCATGGGATGTAGAGGAAGACCCCCTGAAGCGACAGGCGATGGAAGATGAGACGAGGATGGAGTGGAGGCTTAGAATGATGAGGGAAAAGAAGAGGAGGGTGGATGCGGCAAGTGAGGCGGCCAAAGAATTAGAGGGGGTAAAGAACTTGAAAGAACAATTGACCGCCCAGGTGGATCTCCAACGAAAAGTGGAGATCATCGCCCTAAACGTCGAGCGCTTGGCGCGAGTTCAGGAGGAACAGTATGCGTTTAGCAGGAGTCAGGATATGGCCGTGCGCTCGATGCGGATGGGATTTCGTGATTTTGCTCGCGAACTGGAAGGCGCCGTAGGAGCTGAGGTAAAGCATCGCCTCGAGAAAACAGAATGCTTCTGCATCGGCGCCAGTGAAGGTGTTAAACTGGCGGCTCCCAAGGAAGAGGAAGCACATCCTCGCAGGGAGCCAGTCAAAGTCAAATTCCCTGATTCCTACAGCGGGAAAAAGGAAGAGAACTTTGACAACTCGGAAGCCAACGTAAGAACGTACGTGCACCTGAAGAAAGTGTCCCCCGATGAGCAGGTCCTGATAGCCATCCATGCATTGAAGGAAGAAGCCGCCAGTTTTGCACACTGCAGCGATGATGTGGTTGCCTACTCTGCTTTCACCCCCCTCGCGGACTTTCTTAAGTTGTTGCGCGAACGATTTGCAGATATCTCGCGCAATGTTAGAGCCTCTGACCGATTGCAGACTATCCACTCTCGTCAGTGGAGGAGTGCCAAGGCACTCAAGGGAGTAATGGACGAGTTAGTGGCTACTCCTGACCATGGGGTCACAAAGACCCAACTGGTCAACCTCTTCTACCGGGCTATGCTCGAATCGTTGCGTGGGCTCTTTTTTGGGAAGAGCCAGCAACCCATCATGACCTATGACGCCTTGAGCAGGGAAGTGGTGGCATTTGAAGCAAAGTCTGCGTCAGTTTCCACTTTCTGGCACAAGGACTTGGATAAGGGAAAAAAGTGGAAGGGTCGCACTATCTCAGGACAGGTGAAGACAAAGGATAGCCTGATCCTGACCTTAGACGAGGGTAGTGTCGATGAGATCCCCTACGATCAGATAGAGTGGGGGCTCGAGGAAAATGACAGTAGCAGTAGTCAGGGGAGGACCTACGCTGCTGTCGCGGCTGGAGGGAGGCCGCAAGGAGGAGGAATAGGCCAGGGCCAAGGGGGCCGGGCCTCAGGGAACCGTTCTCAGGGCGATCAGGGGGTTGGCGGTAGAGGAGGAAACCGCCAAGCGGGAGGAAGGGGTCAAGGTCCCCCGCAAAACCGGTCAGGGAATAAGTCCCCTTATAGGAGAAGTGGATGGCACCCAGGGCTGCCACAAGGCAGGCCTTGGGAAGATCTGGGCCTGGACCAGCGCTTATGGCAACAGCATGTGAACCAGGGGCAGTGCATTTATTGCAGTGACCCTGGCCACATCATCAAATACTGTCCGAAGTATAGGGAGGCTCGTTGGGCTGCACAGGAAGCAAAAGGCAGCCCCCGGTAGGGGTAGCAACTGCCTCTACCATAGGGCTATGTGGAGATGAGTTAGCAAGCCGGCACGAATCTCCCAAACCACATGAGCCCATGGCAGAAGTTGCAAGCCGGTGCCTAGATAGCTGCCCAGAGACTGCGTGTGTTAGAGTCTCTCTAGGCACTTCCCTCACAGGCGTGGCAGAGGAATTGAAGGAGAGAATGCCCGCCTGGGCCAAGATGAGGAAAGAAAATAGGGGGCAGCTTATACTAGTAGATACAGAGATCTTTAGAGGACAAGTTGGCGCCTTAGTGGATAGTGGAGCCACTCGTAGTTATATTAGTAGGAAGGCGTTGTAGAAGCTGAAGTTGCAGTTGAAAGTCCAACGACTAGCAGACCCCATAGTAAGTATCCTCGCGGACAATCGCACTATGCGAGTAGAGGAGTACGTAGAGAGAATCCAGGCGTATTTCCGCCTAGAAAAGGATGGGAAGATGGAAAAAGTTCTCCATTCCCTGACTCTCCTCGTAGAGGATAGCCTCCCGTTTGACATAGTCCTGGGTATGGACTGGGGAGAGGCAGCAGGGGCCACACTCCACTTGAGAAAGCACGAGTGTAGGCTCCCTAGTCCAACAGGCAGTGTCAAGACTGCCCGCCTGTTTCATGTGTCAGGAGTAGACAACTCCCTAGCGCATTGCTGCCTTAGCGCTCCTGCGTTCGCAAGGCTAGTGAAAAAGGAGCAGCTAGAGGAACAGGTTTTTGTAGCCTATGTTAGGCCAGCCACTGAGCCTAAGGAAGAGAAGCCTATAGACCCTGCTATTGCCAAGCTGCTGGAAGAATTCACAGACTTAGCGAAGCCACCGATAGGAGTAGTACCGCGGCCGATCCAGCATCGTATTGAGATTGAGCCTGGCAGTAGGACCCCCAAGGGAGCAGTGTATAGGATGTCCCCGCGGGAGTTAGACGAGTTGCGCAAGCAACTAGACGAGCTCCTAGAGAAGGGTTGGATTAGGCCCAGTTCGTCTCCATTTGGAGCACCTGTTTTGTTTGTCCCCAAGAAGAAGGGAGAGCTTAGGATGTGCATAGACTATAGGGGTCTGAATGCTATCACAATAAACTTGAAGAATGCTGAGCCACTGCCTAGGATAGATGATCTTTTGGATCGAGTGCAGGGGTGCAAATATTTTACGAAGATAAATCTAAAGTCCGGGTATCATCAGATAGAGGTTTATCCTGATGATCAGTACAAGACAGCTTTCCGGACTAGATACGGGCACTACGAGTTCATCGTGATGCCCTTTGGACTAACCAACGCGCCAGCGACTTTCCAGCGGTGTATGAATGATTTGTTTAGGCTGTGGTTAGATAGGTTTGTTGTAGTTTATTTGGATGATATCCTAGTGTTTAGCAAGACCCTTCAAGAGCATCAGGGTCATCTCAGGCAGGTCTTGGAGAAGCTGAGAGAAGCTAACTTCAAGATCAACGCAAAGAAGTGCGAATGGGCGAAGACCCAAGTGTTGTATTTGGGCCACGTCTTAGACGGAGACGGCATCAAGCCACAGGATAGTAAGATTGCAGCGATCAGGGATTGGCCAACACCGCGTACGTTGACAGAGTTGCGGTCGTTCTTAGGCCTAGCAAACTACTATAGGAAGTTCGTAAGGAACTTCTCCACTATCGCTGCGCCCCTTCGCAGATTGCTAAGGAAAGAGGCCATCTGGAAGTGGGACAAGGATTGCACGTCTGCTATGAAGAAGTTGAAGCAGACACTGATAGAGTATCCAGTCCTTAAGGTGGCCGATCCGTCCTTACCCTTTGTCGTCACTACGAACGCTAGTCAGTACGGCATAGGTGCTGTTTTGCAGCAAGACGATGGCAATGGTTATAGGCCCGTAGAGTTCATGTCTGCTAGGATGCCTTCAGAGAAGGTTGCGACATCTACCTATGAGAGGGAACTCTACGCTCTCAGGCAAGCGCTAGAACATTGAAAGCACTACTTGCTTGGGAGGCATTTCAAAGTCTATTCTGACCACGAAACGTTGCGATGGTTAAAGACGCAGGCCAAGATGACACCTAAGCTTACTAGGTGGGCCGCAGAAATAGACCAGTACGATTTTGAGCTCAAGCCAGTCAAGGGTAAATATAATGTAGTTGCGGACGCTCTGAGTAGGAGAGCTGACTACTTTGGAGCGATAGTTCACTACCTGGACATAGGGAGAGACCTGCAGGAAAGAGTTAAAGAAGCATATGCGCACGACCCTATTTATAGTGACCTCCTCAAGAGAGTAAAGGAGGCTCCAGAGACCGAGCCAGATTACCGCACTACTAACGGACTGTTATTTGAGAAGACAAACGTAGTTGACCGTCTGTGCATTCCCAATAGTGAGGAGATCCGTAGTTTGATCTTAGGAGAATGTCACGACACAGAGGGTCATTTTGGTTGGCAAAAGACTCTAGCCAATCTAATGCACGCGTACACCTGGCCAGGAATGAAGAATGACTGTATAGAGTATGTCCGCAGTTGTAAAGTTTGCCAGCGGAATAAGACTACTACGCGTGCTCCGCTAGGTCTTCTCAGACCCTTGCCTATTCCTGATCAGCCCGGGGATTAAGTGTCCATCGACTTCATGGACGCGGGCGTCAAGAGTAGGCACGGCAAGAGCCAAGTCAAGGTGATAGTCGACAAATTTAGCAAATATGTTGGTTTTATACCATTGCCTTCAGAGGCACGGACCGAGTTAGTGATCCGTAAATTCTTTGACCATTGGGTCAGTGAACACGGGGTCCCATTGTCCATAGTTAGTGATAGAGACACCCGGTTCACGAGTCAGAACTGGCAGGAGTTGATGAGAGTCTATGGCTCTGAGTTATTAATGTCGTCTGGCCGTCATCCCGAGACCAACGGTCAGACTGAACAAATGAATAAGATCCTGCAGCAAGTTCTGAGAATGTACATCAGACCAGATCAAGTTGACTGGGACGAGATGCTCCCCAAGGTAGCCAGTGCCAATAACAATAGTGTGCATTTGTCTACATGCCGCACTCCCAATGAACTGCACAAGTCCTTTAGACCGCGCAGACCGTTTGAAGGACTTAACCGTGATCAGATTCATAGGCTACCGCCCGGTACTAGGGAGTTTGCTATACAGCACGAGAAAGAATTAGCTACTGTTGTAGAGAAGCTCAGGAAGGCCCAGCATAGAATGATAGAACAAGCCAACAAACATTGTCGCCCCTCACAGTTCCAAGTAGGCGACTAAGTCTGGGTCAAAGCTAAAGAGTTTGCTCCTGAGGAGAACATCTCGCAAAAGTTACTACCTGCGTATAGAGGACCGTGGCCAGTTCTAGAAGTCAAGGGCGGAGAAGATGGTCCGTCCTACTCGATAGAGATTCCACTACACCTCCACACCTACCCAGTTTTCCATGCGTCAAAGTTGTTGCCATGCACAGTAAGTGATCAGTTTCCATCTAGACGTTCCATGATCCCTCCAGACATGGATGGGAGGTACGACATTGACGGCATTGTAGGTGAAGACGTGTTTAGAACAGGAGGTCGAGGTCGTCCTCAAAAACAGTATAAAGTCAGATTTGCATATCAGGAACCAGAAGACGACCGGTGGTTCACCAGAACTGAACTTCTAGAAACGGCTCCTGACATAGTCCTGCCTTGGACTGAAATATTCTCGGAGGACCTCGAATTTAGGCCGGCAGGAGTGAAACGGTATTCACCAGCTCGCAGTAGCTGATGCAGATCCCAGGGCTCGATCCCTAGTCCCCACCTTACCTGTGTACAGTACCTGTGTCAACCCGTCGAGTTGAACCTGCGACCTGTAGGACTGCCAGTGGTAGGTAGGTCATCGTAGGTTACAGGGTATAGGGGATTCGAACTGTAGACCTGTCGGGTAGGAGTCCAGAAAGTCCAGAGGTCTTAGCTGTAGACTTTCCGAAGACTCAACGTCGTAGCTGCTACTTACCTGAAAGGGCCAAAGTCGTAGCTGCTACAGGACCGAAAGGCCAAGTAGGTGCTTCTAGAAGTGGCCTTTCGGAGTCAGCCCACTGTACGTCAAGGCAAGTGGGCAAGTGGTGGAAGTCCACCGCGCAGAGCCAGCAGTCCCAGTCCAGTCAGTCCGGTCCAGTCAAGCAAGTACCGCCTGGGACTGTGTGCACCGTGGGCCAGGGAAACAGGGCAGGCCGACGAGCCACAAAAGTATAAATCAAGAGGCCGCGCACAGCCATTCATTCATTCCTGCGGAAGCCATGCCGAAGCGCTGTCTCAGCGGCTTGTGCGAGGAGGTCTGCAGTGTGCCCGAAGTCGAAGTGTGCCAGAAGAGCTTAGCATAGCGATAGCGTAGAGGCAGCCATAGCTGCCATAGCTGTAGCTGGTGTGTGTGTGTTGTGTGAGTGTTCCRAGTGATGCGTGTGGGATATCCAGGGTGATCGGGTGTGTGTGAACAGTGAGTTGTTGGGCGCAGGGTCGCCATAGCCAGTGGAAGTGAACTCTTATCTGGATACCATATCTCTGAGTTCTGTGTGGGCGCATGTCGCCAGTTTGCTGCGATGCTGTTTACATGCATGATAAGTGTGAATGAGACGAGTCTGATTGCAGTAGCCTAGAAACTAACAGGAAAAAAAAAGAAAAAGAAAAAAGAAAATAAAAAACCCAAAAAACAGCAACTGTCAAGAAAGGGAAAAAAGAAAAAAGAAAAAACGCAACTGCCACGTCTAGGGGCAATGAAGCTCATCCCAGAGGGGTGCAATGAACCCCCTGCTTTTGACTAAAGAACTCCAAAAATGTGAACATAACTCTATCGGCCATTGGGTAATCTACTAATCTCAGATCTGGACATCCATAAACAGTTGAGAAATGATGTTCACCCTTCCCACTTCCAGAGGATGCAATTCGCATAGAAACCATAGGCCCATAAATAAGTTTCAAAAGTTCTATTAAGTGTGAGTATATATATGCCCTAATGGCCCTAATCTTATAACTTTGCTGAAGTTTGACTGGGAACTTGGGACCCACAAAACCTACAAGAGCTGAACAGTCTAGTACTATCTGTTCTGAACTCTGATCAGTTTAATATCTGGTCACCATGGTCCATCGGGAACGAGAGGGAGGGGGAAAAAAAAAACAAACTGCCATAGGCCCATGCCCTGGGGTCCGGTCCCACCTACGGCCGTTGAGTTCAGAAACCTCAACAGTGTGACACCGTTTACCGCATTTAATAAATGTGAAAATGGCAAAATGCTTTTGCGGTATATATTTATAGCAGGTTTTAGCCCGAAAAGGGAGCGAAAAGGGAGTGAGGCCCGATGGAGCAGAACGCATGGCAGTTACGTTTTTTTGTCCTGACGAAGTGACTGACATACTTCCCGAGAGACAGGGAACGGCGCACGTCGGCCAATAACATCACAAATAGGCAAAATGAAGCATTCAGCACGTTGACATGTCTACCCACGACCATGGAGGGTAGTTTTCTGAACTCTGTGGCGCTTGCCCATGCCGCCTTTTGTCCCTTGCGGGAGTTTGTACCAAGTCTTTATACAACAAAAAAAAAATCCATGAAAACACCCGAACGAACATCGCCCCTTCAAAAATACTTCCCACTGTGGGATCTCACTCCTGTCCATGGCCACATCCTGTCGAACGTTGTCACTCGTTGTCCGAAAGTCAATGTTGAGTTATCTCAACAACACAGGTGGGACCAGACCCCTGGTTTGCAAAGGAAAGCACTGCATTCCCAACTTCTTCTTCTTTTTTTTTTTTTTCTTTTTTTTTTTCTTTTTTTTTTTTTTAGGTCAAGTCAGAGATTCGTGAGACATTATGTATCATCAGTCTATTCTTCTCACCTTGCCCACACCTTCCATCCAAGGCCTCCCTCCACGTACGCCATCTCTTGGACTTTGATATGTACATTACCAGGGAAAGAAAATGTCTGCAAGTCCAGCCAAAATTCCCCAAGCCAAAACACACACACACACACACACACACACACAAGCAAGTGGACACGAATGAATGCATTATCATGGATGACGTCACCCAGCCATATGGATGAATGGTACATGCATGGATCCGTTCATAACAGATCATGAGTTCGAACATACCACACATATTATTAGGTGCTAAATTGATAATACAGTTAATACTTAAATACTCTCTTTTGTAATGTACTCAAGGCGGAAAAAAGCAAGGGCCGTAGGCTTGCTAGCTAGAGAGAGATTAATCGGTACAATAATACTTTTTTGAACCTTTTTTTTTTTTTTCCAAGCATCTCTCTAGTTTCTGGCATTATGGTTATACAATGTACATGCTAGAGACCCAGTTCAGTTCATTCCGGTTGATTTCTCAATTTCAGGAATTCCGTAATACTTCAGGTTTACTTGTGTATGTATTAGGTCTTGACTTTTTTGCATCCACTGGGAGTCTCATGCTTAGAAGGGAGAACCCCGATGTAGTATTTATGAACCCCACTTTCTTTTTTTCAACTTCACTTTCTTATTTTCAACTTATTCACATGGCTTCAGACCGGGACATCACACCCTTATAACAATGTTATAATGGGTACCCCTTTCATGGCATGCAATTAACAGAATGAGCTCAGAATGTCCATCAGATCTTTTTTTTTTTTTTTTTTCATGAAAACGCCCCCTTCAGTGTTAGTGGTGCTGGTAAGACCAGACACCACTAGCACCTGGGGGGAGGCTCCATCTATTGGTGGGGAGCATCACCAGCTGGAAAACGGGTCCAGCGTCCCTTATACAGATTAAGTTTGGAATGTATCTGGGCATCTCACGGGACAACCAAGGTTTGCTGCTGGGATGACGCTGGCCGGAGCTGGGGCGAGTTGTGTTGCCCTGTAAACCAGCAAGTAGGTGGGGTGTGAGGCCTGGAAGAGTTCGGCAGGGAGTAAGACAACTTTGAGGAACCCTGGAAAGGTTTGGTAAGGAGGTCGAGATTTTTGGATTTTCTCTTAGGACCCCGGCGGTCTTCCTACAAACGAAACGAGGTGAGTGGGAGAAGAAGACGGTGGGATATCATGCGTCCTACTAGTGACGGGGCTAGCTGGTAGGATTGGAATACAGTATAACAGCAGTAGAGATGGTGGCTCTGCTGCAGTGAGTCTTGCCGGAGTGAGGAACAGAGGATTGAAGGGGGGGTTGGTTCGAGTTGGATTTTGAGTCTTGTTGATTCTTGAAGTCTGTTGTAGTCATTTCCTAAAGTAGCTCCAACTTTTTGAGCTAAAACAGAACGTGGGGGAGTGGGGAAGGAGATGGTGGGATATCACGCGTCCTACTAGTGAGGG